TGTTGATATAATGAACTATTTACAATGAATCTAATGAACGATGTACAATATAATAAAATATAATATATATTACTATATTTATTAACTACTATAAGACTTATCTGATACTTAAGCTTTACTATTTAGTTTTATTTCTTATTTTTATTTTTTAACCACCAGAATTTGTCGCTATTCTTCATATAATTATCCTTATAATCTCTTAGAGGTATTGCTGTGTTATATCTTAATCGGTTCAAATTTGCTTCGCATACGATATCAGGTTCATACAATATTTTTTTATTTAATTTGTCATTGAGTTCGAGTTCTTCAAATAGTTTCTTTAATTCAGGTATGAAATGTTTATTCCATCCTCTTATTGCGTATATTGCGACAATATATAATTTTTTATTGTTGTTTAAATTGACTTGAATTATTATGTTTTCTATCGCCTTGTTCTGGTCGTTGAGATTGACATTGTTGAACTTGATATTCTTTTGTATCAAAATTGCTGTTCCCCCCGCCCTATTTTGACCTTTTCTATTATTAAATATACAGTTGTAGTTTTTGAAAAAGATTCGGTGGCTATCGTTTAATTTTGTTTCAGACAAGAGTACTAGTTCTGGTTTATGTTCGTCTAATAGGATTCTTAATTCTTCTCTTTTATAATTACTGATAAGTGAGTTTATGTTAAGCGAAATTATCTTTAATTTTTTAACTTTTGCGCTATTATGTGTTCCTGCCATTTTTATTCACATAGAATTTGTTCGGAAATTCTGCCTCCAAAAATATAGTGATGCGCTCTATTTTACTTACTATTTCGGGGAGTTGCGCTATTACCTTTTCCAAATTTAGTATCTGATTGATAGTATTATTATATGTGTCACTGAAATTCCCCATATCATCCGGCCTCTGACTTAGGTTAGTATCTGTTTTGTTTTGATATTCCCTAAAATTTTGGTAGTTATCTTGCTTGCTGTTAATTTTAAAATTGTTATTTTCCGATTCTGCTGTTGGATTTAATTTGGATACATCAGCATATGTGAAATTCTCACTTACTGTTCTATAGTTCTTATTTATATTTGGTAGGTTTTTTGTTGTCCCGTTAATGTTTTTATTTTTGATAATGTTACTAATTTCTTTAATTTTGGGACATCCTCGGTATGACGCCGGGTGTCCAAAGGAATTACAGTTCGCACAAAAGATTTTATCTTTATCTACTTCTGCAATTGCACAATTCCCCGGTTCGTGTTTAATATTACATTTTATGCATCTATATGGTAGATTACAATTAATTGCTGCATGTCCTAACCTTTGGCAACGTTTACATTGAATTATCTCCTTCTTCTTTAATTTTTCCCAGGTGACTACATGGTGAGCTATTATCCTGATTCCTAGTAGGCCTCTCGGGTTACTCTCAGTTGTCAACTGCACCATGAATATGGGCAGCACCTGGTTCCTTTTTTCTGCTGCTCTCGTTGTGAATCTGCAAACCTTTGTATTGATATATCCTTTATTTCTTGACTGTTTAGTTCTTCAAGTATTTCTTCTTCGTTGTAAGAGGGGCTAATTCCTTTGAGAGACCATGACTGTATTTTCTCATCTTTTCTTGTATACGAATAAAAATTTTTATTCCTTTCTTGTAAAATTTTAATTATTTTCTTATGTTGTGTCATTGTATTTACCTTCAATGTTATCTTTTTTTCTCCTAGTCTTTTGATGCTGAAGTTTGTTTAATTGATTTCTTCCTTCAGGAGTTTTGTTAGCATCGTGGGATCTTGATCAAAGATATTAATTGGGGGTGGTTGAAGCTTTTTGTTGTTTACACTCTGTTTTTGTTTTCTGTAGTCTTGACTCATGGTTACATTATTCTCACTTTCCTTGTATTGTTCTTGTTCTGCTATCTCGTTCCAGTCCTTGGGCTTTTCTTCGTCGATCCTGTAGCTCTTTTCTATTTCCCTGACTCCTGAGTCCTCCGTTTCCATTTCCTCATTGTCTCCTACTTCCTGTAGTGTGTTGGATCTATTGTGGTCTTGAGAAAGTGTTATATTGCTAATCTGTGTTTGTTTCCTAAAACTATCCATATCGTTGATTGCTGTTCTTAATTGTTTGATAAGTTCTTCTAGTTCAGCTATTTTTTTCTTCTGCTCTTGGTTTTCTTCTCTTAATATCTTGATTGAGATTATATCCTGCGTTGGGTTTATGTTTTCCTTGTTTTGTTCCGTCCTTTCTGACTTCTTCTTCTTATTTTTGATATTGTCTTTGGTCATTTTGGGTCTTGGTAAGCTTAGGTTTCTTTTCACCGTTTTATTTATTAGTCTTTTCAGCGGTTTATCGTCCTGGTTGCCCAGAGCTTTCCTTATCTCCCAATCTGACCACAATAATTGTGTCCCTTTTTTATTTAATTCTGGCTCACTTCTGTTTGATTTCGAGGTTATGTTCTCGCTATCGTCTTGTATTATTTCTGCTGAACTCGCAGCATGACTTATCGCGTTCTCATTGCAAATCAGGATTGTATCCTTATTTTCCTCCACGGTGGATTTGTTGGTGTCTAAACGTTTTATTTATTGTCCTGTATGTTTTTGTCCTGCTGACACTGGTAGGGTTACGTGTGCCTAGTGTACTCTAGCGCGTCTCCAGCGGGACTGGTGTTTTCAACGTGGTATGACCGTTGACGTTTGTAAGACTTCTCGATATACCAAAAGACTGTTTTACACATATTGCACGTGCTACAAACTTTTTATTGTTAATGTAAGTCAAATAATAATAAAGTGATTCTAAAATACTATCAAGATATTTTAAAAAAGAAAAGAAGCTGATGTTTCCACTATTACTTTTTTAACTATCTATATAGTCATTTAAACAGTATAGTTTGCAACTACACAATTTTTTTAGCTGTGTGCGCTAAATAAATTTATAACTATAATAAAGGATATTCGAAAAATTAAAAGAAAAAAATATGCCAACAGTATACGATGTTCCCAAGCGATCACTCATCTAATTACTGACCGTGCCCAATGTTGCTTAACTTCAGTGATCAGACGAGAACTGGCGTTTTTTTTGTGTGTATTTAGGACCAAAATGTACAATTAAGAGTATATAATAAGCTTAATAAACAAAACTTTTCAATAACTAAAGTTTAGATAGATCTGAGCAGGCTTATACAAAGCATTTCGCAGATACGATCTATATACAGTTTATAATAAGAAGAAAGAAGCAGTAATTAATAACAAATAGACATGCTGTAAAATAGCTAAGTAATATTATAGTTAAGTAATAACCAAATGAATATGTATTGCCAGAAAAAAGGTCCAAGAAAAACTGACTATGCTATCATTATGTAGGATTTTATATATTATAAGTCAAAAGTAAAAAAATATTATACACATTACAATAGGAATAACTAGTCATAAAATATAAAACACTCATACAAGTCATACAATATAAAATAGTCACAAATATAAAAAAATATAAATAAAATAGTCACAAATATAAAAAAAAACATAAATTATAAAACATTATAAATAAATTAAACAAATAATATTCTATTATTCTATTTTTTAATTATTAAATTCTATTCTTCTATTTTTTAACTATTAAAGTAATTATTTGAACAGTAGTAATTGTTTGTACTATAGTGTATAATATAGTGAACAATATAGTGAATGTATAACTGTTGATATTTGTTAATATTTTTCATATTGCATTCCTGTAATTTTCGAAAATAAAATAACCGCAAAAATAATATTCACAATATATACCTAGCAAATTTACGTTCGTTTGACATCTTATTGCATCTAATTTTTAAAAATAATGTGGTATTCTGATTTGCGCGTGCTACTGATTTGTATTATATTACAATTAAAAAAATGGAATATAGATGCACTTTTTGTATAACTTAGTAAATCTTTACGAAAGACGACAGTAACACAATAATAATAATATGTTTTAAAACTAGAGACTTCAAATTCCAAATATTTTTCCAAACACTGGACATTTAAAATGTTGTTATTGTAATGGTTGTGGAGCAAATTCCATTAACCAAGGACATTTAAAATGTAATTATTACTTTTATCGAAATTACAGTCTACTGAATTTTTATGTATATTTTATATACAGGGTATCTCACACTCTCCTGCGGGTATTTTGTGGGGACGTACAACAGGTTGAGGTGAACATAAAAGTCCAATACCGTTTTGCGATATTCGCAATAATTATCGAGATATTAATTGTAAAAAATTTGTGAATGATCATGCAGGATATGGTAAATGAGTTATAATAGCGACGACTGCCGTCGTGTACTTATACTTTAGGTCAAATTGAACAAAAAAGTCCTCTACCATTTTCCAAATAATCACATAGATTTTTAATAATTAATTAAAGAAGATGAGTGCATTATCACGAAAAATCGTGCAATAATTTTCTTTGATTAATAATTAAAAATCTATGTGATTATTTGGAAAATGGTAGAGGACTTCTTTGTTCAATTTGACCTAAAGTATAAGTACACGACGGCAGTCGTCGCTATTATAACTCATTTACCATATCCTGCATGATCATTCACAAATTTTTTACAATTAATATCTCGATAATTATTGCGAATATCGCAAAACGGTATTGGACTTTTATGTTCACCTCAACCTGTT